CCAGAGATGAAAGGATGACCTAGCTCTCCTGGAATTTGAACTTGTGAAGTTAAAAAGATATCACAGTTGACACTGAGACATCTAAATCATCCTTCACAATTTCACACGTTCCCAGGCCAAACCAGGAAAAAAGCACATCCTTCCAACAAGTGACGAGCTAAGATCTGGGCCATTTCTCCATCACCCACTGCTCTTTTTCCTCTATTTTACCCTTTTGGGGAAAAGGTCAATGCTAAGTTAATACTTTATGATTTACAACAGGCAGTAAATGTTCCATGCTGGACAGTATTTACCCAGTATTTTTTTATAGGATGCCAGATTTTTCCAGACTTTCTCTCATACAATAGTTAACTTGTTTGGAGTGGGTGGAGAAGGAAACATAGTCATTGAAAAGATCACTGCTTCCTCCTTGAAATCTAAAGAGTCTATTATAATTCTTCTTTCAGAATCTGTCTTTCGGGCCAAATCTCCTACAGATTAGGGAGAAGAGAAGTGGTTATGCTATCTAAGAGTTCACTTTCACTAACTGAATACTGTGCTACTAGATCTCTATAAATAATCACACAAAGAAGCCCATCTCACATCAGTAGAAAGAGAGGGCACCCAGCCACCTAGATCAGTCTTCTACCCACCAGACAGTACCTTCTTCTCCAAAAAAGCCCCTAACAGCAGCTGTAATCATGGGCAGCTCAGAGCATTATTGGCCATTGCTATTGGGAAGACTTTTGGACTTTGAGACACCAAATACAGTTTTCAGTCTTGGGGAGATAGTACAGCAGAATGGCTAACATGGTAAGCTCCAGAATCAGAAGGAACCAGCACAAATCCCAATCTCTGCTCCATCTTCTCTATATGTTTATCCTTTCAAAGCTTCAGACTCCTTAAAGGTCAAATGGTCAAAATACTCATACCCACCCCTAAAGGACTATAAGAATTACATCAGAAAAATATTTTCTTTTTAAAAACAAATTATTTATTTTTGCATTAAAATTCTTAATACACCATTGTATCATAATTTATCACATCTCTGATTATATATAAGGTATGTTGACACCAAATTCACATCTTCATACATGTATTTTGTATAGTAATGAGGGTCTCCTTTCACCATCCATGCTATTCCCTTTCTCCCTCCCTTTTCCTCCCACCCCTATTCCCTATCTAGATACAGAAAATATTTTCAATGAGCATGCATAGTACAATCCCCAGCACATAATAAATGCTCGTGTGATGGGTACTATTAGTATCAGTTCTGGGCTTATCAACTTGTTCCTATGTTATTTTAAGCACATCATTAAATTCTCAGCTTATTAATGGGGCTGATGTGAATAACGTGACTTCACCAGGTAGTTTGAGAAGATTGAGTGAGATTATCCGCAAACTATAAAGCTTCTGCAAATGTGAAGATGATTATTATTTTCATTGTTATTAGCCTTCAATGATCTTCTTCATTGGAAAGTTCATGGATAACTTTCCAGAGGAAAGCTTGGAGCTAGGATAAGAACCAGAATGTAATGGGAGACAGTGAATGGCCACCTCAGGGTGGAGGTACCCATGTGCAATAATGTAAATTGCAAATCTATTTCTTTCCCAGCTTATTCCCTGATGAGTTGGTTAACCCTCCCTTCAAAAGGGTTAACCAACCCCAGTAAACTGGAAGACCGATATTTTTAAAAACAATCTTACCTTCCCTGGTGTCAATAGGAAACAGTATTTACTCACTACTGTTTTCCTTTCAAAAATCTGTCTAGTTGCATACTAGAAACAGCTTCAGCTGGTTTGTTTGTCTTGGACAAGCTGCTGAAGTGAAAAATTTTTGCTTGGCTGAATGTGGGACAGTTTCATAACCCTTTAAGAAGTGCATTGAAGGTGGTGCCAGCTCAGGACGAAGACAGCCGCTCCTTGCGTGCCTACACTTGCCACCCATTGTCAAGGGTGGCGGCATAATTAAATTAAGACAATGAGCAAAGCAACAGATGCATCTGAGACCAAGTCCCTGAGTGCTTTTGTTTAGTCACTGTCATTGTCTGCAACAAAAAAGTCACATGTGAGAGCCTGGGAAGAGAGCCAGATGCAAACCAGACAACATCCCAGCTGGTTTGAATGGCCTTCACCGTACGTGTGTGTGCATGAGAACCATGCTACTTGGAGCAGTGCTGGGTGAGTTTCAGCCCATAGCTCTGCTGTGACGCTGAGACAGGCTCAGAAGAAAAAGTCCAGAGGATACCTCTGCTCAAACCTCACACTTTCAACCTTCTGCTTTAGGAGCAAAGAAAAGAATATCTGTTGGAAACAAAAGATAAGATCTATATGATGTGTCTAGCTAACCTCAATGTTTTTGCTACAGCACTAATGAATTTGAAGAGCAGAATACAGAATATACCTGTTGTCTTCTACAAATCTGTAATTAATTCAGTTTGCAAGGAAAACTGGGAATTAAACATCTTGCAGAGCATTGTTAACATATCATTCAGTATTTTTTTTAGTTTGGGCATGTCAGATTCCTAAGAATATTTGTTTTAAGCTGGTATGCATCTTATATAGGAAAAAAAAGATAAAACTCAAATTAGAATATATCTCTTCTTGTTAGTTAATTTGGTTTATAGTTTGGCGGAAAGGTGGTAGCCTTCAAAATAGTTATTTAGGGACTTACATGAGATACATCCCATCAGCAGGGTCAACACAGAAATTTTTCAAGGAGTTTGGGAACATTTGTGTTTTAACTCTGTGGGCCCATATGTCTTTCTTTCATTTTCTTAACTACTATTTTTAAAAAAGCAATATTCATAGCTGCAATACATAGCAATAAATGCATGTTAAATAGATTTGGTAAAAGGTGTGTGCTATTTGAGAAAAAAAGTGCCAGGATTTTAAATAGAAAGCATTTTGAGGATTCTATTCAAGTGCCTAGTTTCTTCGCATCAGCTTCTTTTGCAGTGGCCACTGAGCTAGACTCCTTAATCAATGTTTTCATACAGTGATGCCATCTGCCTTTCATTCAGTCAGTTCAGGGATATCAACCTTCAACTGGAATTGCTAGCTGCCTTTCATGAAGGACTTGGTGGTAAAACTCTATAATGTTCCAGGCAGAACTGAACACATATAAGAAAAATTGCCAAATCCCTGTGGGTCTTGGCCAACAGGTATTATTTCTAAGGAATGGTAGGTGGGTTTTCTCCCATTTCAGCCTTAAAACTTCTCTCGTTGCTCTAGGTCTCAGTTCTGAGCAGCACTAAGGACTCTTAGTTCCTAACAGTGTTGTGTTTGGGTGGGTGATCATAACTTAAGCCAGAGGAAAAGTCTGGAGATTCTGGCCATCATTATAAGAACCACTGGTTTTGGGTCTTAGTGAAAACATGTTTTAAGGATGAGGATAAGAATTCTTGAACTCCATTTTGTAATTGTACATTATGTACCCCCATAGAAGATTCTCTGGCTAGAAGCAAAACCAAGCAAAGAAGTGCTTTAAGTGTGTGCATGTGAATAACATTTTAGTTCACATCTCCTTATATGACTAAATACAGTGCTATTTAAATTGATTCAAGGCTAAAATAAGAACTATAGAAAAAGTCGAATGACTTGGTTTTGCACACCGTGAAGGAATCCCTCGTACTCATGTGATTCATCCTATAGATATTTTTTGAGCACCTGCAATATCCTAGGCCCTGTTTTAGACTCTGCAGTGTCACAGTGTCCTTGCCCTCATAGAGCTTCGATTCTAAATGAAACTCCAAATTCCTTAGCTAATAGCCTTGTTTGTCAGTGAGTGAATGGTATCACCAAAGCACAGAACTCAGGATATTTGGTCTTAGAATAGTTACTTTGCAATACAGATGACATAAATAATAAGAGCAAACAAAGAGTAACTGAAAATAGTAACAGCTAATACTTATGTAGTGCTTATCATGTGCCAGACTAGTATTAAGTGCTTTTATTATACATGAATCCTTTCATCTTTAATCCTATAAGGTAGATAATGTTATTATTCTGTTTCATGAAGCACAGAGACAAAAGAGACCTCATTTGCACAAGTTCCCATGGCTGGAAAATACACTAATTAGGAATTGAGCTCAGTTCAGGAAGTCTGTGATTTTATAGATGACATCAATGACAAACTTGTGAATTTCTACTTCCCAAACTCTGCCTCTTTCTAGAGGGCAGGGAAAAGACCAAAAAAAAAAAAAAAAAGAGAGAGAGAAATATCACCTTTTTTCACAAAAATTAAAACAGAACTGTGATAAAAACAGCAGAGGATGATCTCACCATCTGATTGATGTGTTTGTTTTGTTTTGTTTTCTAAGAAAAGATGCTACAGGTCAGACACAGGGATTTTCAGGATCCCTTTCCTATTAATGTGTGAGATAGACAGATGGGTAGAAATACACTTTACATGATTATATATAATTATATATTATAATATGATTATATATACATATATAAAATATATGTATGTGTATATATGTATATATGTGTGTATAATATATATATTACACACACATATATTTCCACATCTCCAGACATGGAAGTAACCTAAGTGCGGTTTAGCCAAGGAATTAACTAAAGACCTGTCCATCTGTATGCCTCTCTCAGAAAAACCAATGCCTAAAGCTCTGCTGTAGCTTGATTCATGGCATACAAAATACAAAAGAATGAGACCTCGTGTTAAAAACAGATGGGTACAGTTAGATAGGAAAAATAAGTACTAGTCTATTGCAACACAGCAGCCTGAGTATAGTATAGAATAATTGATTATATATTTTGTAAAGAATGAGAAGAGAGTGTCAGTTTCCCAGCATGAAGAAAGGATAGAATTTTAAGGGGCTAGAAATACTAATTACCCTGTTTTGATTATCACTGCTGATACCCATGTATTGAATTGTCTATCACAAGGTTCCCCATAAATATGTACAATTTTAAAATAGATACACTTAAAACAATTAAATTAGAAGGGTCTACAAAACCTCACCAAGCTAACGTCACTGTCTCTCCTTTATTCATAGGAAGTTCATTTGAAGAACGCAAGTAGAGGGAGCGCAGGAAACAAGAACTACAGAATGTAGGAAGAGCCTCCTGAGGAGCCAAGAATGACATGTCACCACAGGATTCCTTGCTCTGCGCGAGTTACCTGTTAAACATTGGAACACCTACCAAAAAATAAGTTTGATAGCATTTCAAAGATGGGCATTTCCCCCAAGGAAATATACAAGTAAACATTCCAACATTGTCTTTAGCAGTGATTGTTAAAAGATTTGCACCTTGCAAAAACAGTCCTGGAGTTGATAGATTGCTGTTGATCCTATATCAATCATGTTCTATAGAGAAAAATATATATATCTTAGTCCCTGCCTCTTAAGAGCCACAGATGCATGGGTGTTGTTCAGACCCAGCTGCCCTCAGTTCCTTTCTGAATCTTGGCTGCTGCAGCATCCATTCAGCAACCTGGTCTAAGTGGTTTATGAATTGTTTTCTTATTTGCACTTCTTTCTACACAACACAAAATGTTTATTTTACAATGTCTAATAATCTTCTTTGTCTACCCCATCACTCACCCTTTCATGTCATTTACATTTGTCTAATTTGGCCTCCTCAAAAGCAGTAGCAAGAAGTCAAAGAGCCCACCGATGTTTAACCTACAAGATTCAATCTGTGGCATTCGTACCAAATATGAATTGGATGCATTTATTTTAAACAAATAGCTTTATTTTTCCACATCATGCCACACACACACAAAAAAAAAAAAAATTATAAGAACGCAAACAGTTGCAACTTTGAGGCCAATCATTTTTAGGTGTATCTTTGAAACAGAAAGTCTCTTAAACTCTCAATGGTTCCTTCGAATGATGAGTTAGCGTGCAACCTGATTAGTAAATTCTCTCTTTTTATTTTTTCCATGTAGAGCACTATGTAAATTTAGCATATCAATAATACAGGATATATCAAACAGTATGTAAAACTTTGTTTTTTAGTACAATGGTGCTATTTTGTAGTTTGTTATATGAAAGAGTCTGGTCAAAACGGTAAAAGGCGAAAGCAAAGCAGGAGGGAAAGCCTGGAGCCAAGGATGGTACCAAGGGGAGGGAAACTGGAAATTCCATCCATTTAGGAAAGAGGGCAAAGTCCCCCAATTATGCCTCCAGAGGAATTTAACATGCAAAACACCAATGCAAATTCGACTGGCACGTCCAGAGAGGAAGCCGTGGAATGGAAAAAGCAAAAGGCTAGGAATTTTAACAGTCCTGGTTTCTGTTTCTTGCCAAAGAAACAAACATCCAGCTCTGCCACAGACTCACCACTGTGTGACCTTGGGCAAGTCGCTTCACCTCTCTGTGCCTCAGTTTCCTCATCTGCAAAATGGGGGCAATATGTCATCTACCTACCTCAAAGGGGTGGTATGAGGGTCAAAAAGATGAAGCTTCAGATTTTTATCCTGGGTTGTTGGAGGGCGCAACACCAGAGCCCTTGAATTGCTGGGATATATGGAATTCTACAAACAACCCATTCACAACATGGCTAGAGGGTTATTAACCAAATGTTTTTATGAATATAAGTGAAAAGAGAGAAAGGAAAAGAGAACAGTGGAAAAACAAAAAGATTTCTACCAATGAAAGGGTAATCAATCGATCACTCCATTTGTTAAGTTCTTAACTGATTTTTTCCAAGCAATTGCCTTCTGTCTAGTAGCACCTCTTTAAATGTGACAAATAATATTCTACTCATTTGGAAAAACACACTTTTCTTGCTTCTTAGAAAATATAAGAAAAATGGCCCAAGATTTTAAATATTGAAATAATATCCACTAAAATATCACATAGTTACTTTCTTTAATGGACTTTCTTCTTATCCTTAGTTGTATATATACACACGTATTTTATTTTTGTGAAAATATGCTGACTAGAGTTGGTAATTAAGAGACAAAAAATTCCTCCTCAACCTTGAAATTTCTCCTCATATCTGATTAGAAGAGTGATTCCGAACTTTCTGTGAATGTCTTACACATTCAACTGAACATTGATATTAAGAAAATCCAAAAATGAGGACAGCCCCCCAAAATGCTCCCTGTCTATGGATCAGGATTTTCCTTTTAGAACAATGAACTATCCAGCATTCAGATATTTTTATCTGCCTTAGATTTTTTTTGGTGAAAAGCACACAATTTGAGTATGTCATGTAAATTTTTATCTTTTATGTTCTTGGAAAGTATATATGAAAAACAAAAATGACATCTTTAGGTTTGGGGGTTTTCTTTCTTTCTTTCTACCTTTCTTACTGGTCTCCTCAAGTTTAAGAGGCCAGGAAAAAAAAAAGAAAGAAAGACTTCCTGAATCTCTGATAATATGCAAAAAGAAGGTCTTATTCAGTGGAGTGTTCCTGTTCAGTCAACTAGCATCTTAACACTCAGTCCTCAGAGCCATTTGAATCCAGTGCCTTGGGGATGCTGAGTAAGGCTCTGATCTCTATGGAGAGATGTCAAAAACAAACAAAAAAAAAACCTATAAATTGGTTTTGCTCTCTGCCTGTTTTCTAGACGAGGATTCTATGGAATGAGATGCTAGACCTAAGCATCTCTCCAAGATGGCTCTTCTGATTTTTATTTCTTGTTCCCAGTGTATACCTTTTAAAATTGCTGAGTCCCAGAAAAACTTCACAGGCAGTCTTCCACAGATTTATGGGTTTCTTGACATAGTTGGATATGATAATTCTAAGGGTGACTGTGACATGTTTTATTCATTTAATTCTACATGCAGTCAAAAATATCCCAATGAGGAAAGCTTCAATATGTGATACCATGTCATTTTTTAAAACATTTTCCAATACATAATCCCCTCCAGCTGGATCCTAAATCAACAAATAAAAATTAATTAGACTAGCCCACCATTTTACTTTCAAATGAATTAAGACAAATAGATGTTATTGCTGCAATTCAATTGATTATTGCCACAGAATGGCTCAGGATTAACAGGAAAGAAGCACCTAGAACTTCACAGCTCAAAATTTTACCCACTTTGCTATGGAGTTATATTTCTTTAGTACTTAGAAATGGGGCAATTTTCAGTTGTTTATAAAAAGAATGACAAAAATTGGTAGGATGAGTTTTCAATGGATAGGTTTATTTCCAATGTAATTGACAGTATTCCACACCTCTGTCAATTTTTGGTTTCTCTTCCCCAAATAGTGTAAAGAATTATTTGACTATTTCAAGATTAGGCAATTTCACTGGACAGGCTAATGCAGCTCCCCATCAAAACTCACTCTTCTATTTTAAAAGAAAATCTCATCACCTAGACTGCACACACATGTTCACACGCTCACCCTAAGAGTCCAATGGAATACTGAGGGAAAAAAAAATCACTTCCTTGAAAATCTTACTTAAAAATAATGAAAACAAACAAAGCCTCCTTATGAATCCTTCCTTTCCCTTCCCTTAGAACATGGATGTTTGTATAGATGAAAACATCTCATGCTCTGTGGCTCCAGGGTTTCTGTTACTAGTTTATGGCTTGCAAGAATGCTTAGAATGAAGATGTAGCATATTTTGCTTTCCCATTTATTGTTTGGCCAGCAATGCCAATGTGGTGCTATTGTTTCTTTAAGAAAGTACTTGACTTAAAAAAAAATGAAAAAAAGAAAAAAAAAGAAAGCATAGACATATTTTTTTAAAGTACGAAACCAACAATTCTATAGATAGATGGCTTAATAAAATTGCATTAGATCTAGTCACACCACCTTTCAACTTTGTATCACTCACAAGTAAAGTGTTGTTCACCAAATTGTGAGTTTGGGGGTACTGGGGTAGAAGATGGAAATTTTTAAAAGTTACAAGGCTCCATTATTTCGTTGGCTCTCAAACTCAGCAAAATTAGCAATATTTCATCTAATCCAAACACTTTGATCAAGTGCTTGGAGTATAAAGGGAAAGAAAAAGAAAGATCTTCTAGGTAAATGGCAGAACTAGAAAGAGTATTCAGTTGCTTTTTGATTTTTTTTTTTTTTTTTTTTTTGTGCTCTGCTCTAAAACAGATATTCAGCAAGTGGAGAAAATAAAAACAAAGAGAAAAAAAATGCATAGATTCGCCAACTACTAAAAACAGCTTCTGCCACATCTTCCTTGGGTGTTCTTTGGTATGGTCTGTAGAAGATCCTCTCCCTTCTTCAAAGATCTCAAACAGGCAGGAGCTCTCCTAAAACACAATCACTGATCTCATTGGGAAATGTGGGAAAGGACTTCCTTATGAGATGGGGGTCATCTGCTGATTAAGAAAGAGAAGCCTTTATGAGAAATTGTTGAAAGAGATGTTACAATCTGTGAAGATGTTTTTGTTCTCAGTTTCTGATTTTTTTTTAACTTTAAACTGTCTTTATGAATACCCGAATGTTCCAAATGACTTGGTCCTTTTCTTCTTTTTTCATATTGGAATGAGGGGATGATAAGATTAAACCACATATACTCTTTAAACCATAGGCTAGATAGAAACATATGCTTGACTTATCGAATCCAACTATTTAAAATGTTTTGCTATTTTTAACCTTGAAAGATGGTCCTAAATTATTAGAGTAGACTCTGTTTGGCTGTCCTCATAAGAAAGAGCATTTCCGTTCAAATCACATGGATTTCCCATCGATGTTTTCAAAAGGTAAATCTGACCTATGATAAGGCCTCATGTACTTTAAAATACAGTAGAAGAATTAGCAGTCTTCATGTCCCTTCCCTGAAATGATCATAAAGTCCAGGATCTGAGGGGGCAAAAACAAAAAGAAAATTTTTTGGATTCTTTATTTTTGTTTTTGTTATGTTTTGTTTTCAAGGCTAGTGCTTAATCTTATAGTACATATTTGCTTATTGCTATTTTAATATTCTATAAGACTTTCCTGTTAGGTATTAGAAATTGATACATAGATATCTTTTTGTGTGTAACTTCTATTTAAAAAGAAAAGAAGACACAAAGACTGTCTAAAGCTTTAAGTGCATATGGTACAGGATAAAGTTAATGATTTAAATAAATAAGTCCTATCTGGAACAATTTTTTTTTTTTTTAAGGAAAACTCTCACAGATAAAACAGGCCCAGGAGATTTTGAAACTGTCTTTATTCTTCTCCATCCTTTTTTCTTTTTAAATCTGCCTCAGAATTTTTTAGAGAGCTGATCAAGCTGAAGTCCTAGAATTAAAGGAACCTCTTTTAAAAAAAACATACACTTCACATGGTCCCACTTAATGTATGATTACATTGATCTTAAACACAGTCCTTCTCTCCCTATTTTCCAAATGTCACTGATATAAACTTTCAAGGGAAACTTAAAAAAAAATTTAAAAAGAGAGAACACAAGAGTCAAAGTGTTCCTGCCCAATTGAAATATGAGCTAAGATGGAAATAGAGTTTCTCCTACTTAAAAATCCAATGCTGATTCACCTTCAAAATGACCTTTTACAATCCTTAGAATACCTCTTTGTTCAAATTGCCCAGGCCTACAAGCAAACATTACTCATTTTCTTTTGCCCACAATGCACTAAAAATGTAAAGTAGAAAAAATGAAATTAGAATTCTAAAAATCCCTTCCAAGCCACCCACCGACCCCACTCACAGATTCATAGCAAAGTCACTCTGTTGATCCCTTACTCTGATTTTATTTAGATATTTATCTTGTACCTGCTGCTAAACACAGTGCAAGAGGGACTCTGAAACCTCAAGCTGTCTGCTCGCATCTCTTCTCTGTGTCTATGTATCATTAAAATGTCTATTCAAAATATCAAAAACTTTCAAACATCATGTAGCTTATATTCAGTTCACATAGAAGCCCCAAATAGATGTCAGATCTCTTTTTGCTAAGAGAGTTAATGAACTATGAGAATTGGGATTACATAATGTATTTTGCTTCATGTATTTTTATCACACTTATAGGCCAAATGTGATAAATAAACTTACGGACACTGAATTAATTTTCCCCTGCTTCTTTGAAACCAGAAAATAATGATTGGTCATTCATTGTATCAGTTTTAGTGAAAAGCATACTTTTATTAAATTAATTCTGATTGCATTTGAAATTATTATTCAATTCATTTATGGCAGAAGAATATCAGTCCTAATAACTTCTAAAAATGTACTAACTGAATCATTATCTTACATTTACTGTTTAATAAGCATATTTTGAAAATGTATGGCTAGAGTGTCATAATAAAATGGTATATCTTTCTTTAGTAATTACATTAAAATTAATCATGTTTGATTAATTTGTTCTTTTGGATAATGTTGGTGTAATGTGTCATTTCTTAAGAGGTCTACCGTTATATAGCATTCTTATTAATTAACATCATCACAACAAGTAAACATGAAAACTTACCCAGAAAAATAAAATCAATCATACAACAAAATGGAAATATCTTATAGAACTTAGATTATATATTTTTTAAAAAGTATACTTCAAAGGATGTATACAAAGTAAGAGCAAGATAAGATGAATTATATAATATGTGCATCAATAATAAAGTAGGTTGAAGAAAACTACTCACTAAGACTCAGCA